TCAAGTCCCAGTCATCCGAGTCACTTGGGCCTGGCAATACTATCAAAACCATCAAACACAATGTTAGTGGTGGACGAAATGAACAGAGGTAACTGACTGCTACTGATGGAGAATAAACACCAACAGACCAGTGGTTTTCAACATGTGGGACACGGCCCCCCCCTTTTGAGAGATAGAAGAGCACTTCAGGGGAGAAAAGATAAACTAGCTAACTTAGATAAGAAGGAATGGATGGACTTGTTCCACATATAGTGAGAAAGGAGAATGACTAATGCTGTAGCACAAGAGAATACGTATGAAAATGACCATTTAAAAGATTGGATTTCATGGACTGGACATCAATTTATGTCATTGTTTTAATCAACAAATAAAACTACCATTGTGTTCATTTTACAGTACAGTACACAACAGACATTTGTGTCAATTCGTGGTCATGCATGTGCGTATGTAAATACACTGTATGTGCGTGGGCTTGGTGCTGGTGTCAGGGCGTAGCTTTCTAGTTTGGCAATTACCGAGAGGGAAGTTTTAAAGGCTGACATGGATTTTCATCGAAATCCAATCATTCATTCTTCTCCAATGTGAACTTGGAATAAATATAGAAACCATTTGCCCATGTCGACGTGATAACAATGGGAAACACCAAAGACAGCAGTGTCAGAAACTACCCAGAGACTACTTTTTAATCTTATAAAAAGTCGTTTCTGGGTTGGGTGTGTCTGTTGCTCTGGGCTATTTTACACCAAAACTGTCAGTTAATCTTGAGTGTTTTTTCTTAAAGTTAAGATAATTTTTCTAGAAATACCCATCCCTGCTATTCTGAGATGCTTTTATGAGTGCGGTGCAGGCCTGTGGAAACACTGATGCTCTGCTTCGACCTCAGCAGCTTCACTTTGTTCAGTTTCTACAGCCTCAAGAGAGGAAGAGAGAGAAAGAAAGACTCATTTGAGCTGCGCTGGCAGAAGAAGAAAGCAGCAGCAGCTGCTTAATTAAAGGTGGGAAAAGGCTGGAGTATTCACAGCAGCAGAGAGAAAGTGAGGCAGCAGTCGACAGCTCACCACAGGAACTCCTTCAACTTAGGCTAATTACATAACAGTCATATAGCAAAGAGCTCGCGGATATGTCACTTCTTAGTGAAAAGGCAGCTCTTATATGTTGTTGGATGTCTGTCTGATATGCAGTTGCCTTCATTTTTTTTTTATCTGAGAATCTCATGAAACGGTCGATTTACCTGTTCATATGTTAAAGTAAGATGTACCTTAATAATTCTGAGAAATGCACACTTTTCTTTCTGCTTGTTTTGTTTGGTCTGAATATTACTGTTCTTAATAATACTACTTACATTTAATTAAACAGTAAGGACACATACTTATAATTTCATCCATCCTCCGCATTTGTTATGTGGGTGATCCAGTATGTTCGGAGCAGGGGGTCGGGGTTTGAGGATGTGTCCATCAATGTATGAAATAGTGATGATTTAAACAGTGATATTTTAAGTTGGACTTAAAACTGCCAATTTAAATTCTCTTTAAAGATTCCCATTACATTCTTTATGGAGAAATGAGAACAAATAAAAGATCTCATGGGAAACTAAAACACAGACTGTGAATGTGTTGTGTACAATCACAGACATAACCATATAGACCCATGGTAGACTTTCTACTAATACTAATCATCAGATCTCAGTGTCCCCTGACATTTACTGGACTGGTTATTCTTTCCAATATGTTAGTTACTATAAAAAGTCAGTTACTTCTTGTTTACTATGGAAAATACTTTCCTGTTCCTCAGTCGTAGGGTTACACGGCACAGCAAACACATTGCTGGAAACACAAGTCTGGTAAGGTGTAAGATGAGCAGGTAACACACTCACACACACAGATTGTAGAGGGGAAAGCCCCTGGTTGTGAGAAGCGACGGATGTGTGTGTGACAAAGTGGGAGGGGCTGAGTTACAGTGAGAGACGGGGCTGATGAACTGAGCAGATGACTGGACTTTTACCTAAAGGTCAGTTGGTAGTATGTAATGTGCTGGCTGATATTGTGTATGTACACAAGCTCCACCCTTGTCACTAGATACAGGTATAAACACAGGAGATTCACATGAACTTCACATGAGTGTGAACTTCTGAACAATCACAGAGATACTGTGGGAAACTGAAAGAAGTCAAATCACTCAGGTTCTTAATGTAAAACATAAAACCATTATCATTTAGTTATCATTAAAATTGTCCTTTACGATGTTAACCCCATCAAATAGTCACCGAATAATCAACTATCTACATTTCAGGGCCAAAGACTAACCAAAAATTAAAACGATTATTTGTAAATACGTAAATCCTAATAACAAAATGTATTGATGCGTTAGACAACTTCATGAACAAGACAGATTACTGTCATTTCCGTACTATAAGGTGCTGCTTTTTGAAGCTTTGAACCACGTGGCTTAAACAATTATGCAGCTAATTTATAGATTTTTTACGGGCTGACGAAGTTCATTCCACTAGCGATCAATGGCTTTTCTGATAGGCTGCTGTGTGTTATACTAGTAGTGTATTTCTGTCTGTGGATGTCTGTGTGCATGCGTGCGAGAGAAAACGGTAGCAAGAGTTGAGAGCAGTTAAATCACATGTTCTGTTGTGCTCGGTGTGGCTGATAATAAAGACACCAACTTGGCTGTTTCTATTTACCTCTGCTGCGGACAAGTGAAGGGAGTTAGCCCCAGAGCTAATGTTAGCTTCAGACCTGGATCACTAAGTCACCTCTGTGCATTCCAACTACAGTCGTTGAAATCATTCAACCAATTAAACCATTA